CCAGGATCGCATAGGTCGGATTGTGCTGCGGGTTGATGACAGGCGCCATCAGGTTTGTTGCCAAAAGTCTTTGTTTTGCTGTCGCCGTCACATATGCATCATGGAATGCCATCATCGCTTGCGCTGTGCTGGATGACTGATGGGATGAGTATACCAGCCTTGTTCACTCCAATTCCAGGATGGATCCCAATTCTGATCTGTCCAACCGGCGTATGTAGGCTCTGTGGATGGTGCAGTCGGCTGAATGGCGGGCTGCTCCTCCGTCTTCTCTGCGATGGCTGCGAATGTCTTGGATTTTCCTTTTTTCTTGTCCGCCTTTTCCCTTGCGATTGTCATAGGATGGATAACCTTTGTTTCCATCATAGGGATATTGAAATTTTGATTTTCCTTTCTTTCCCTTCTTTCCTTTGCCTTTTCCCCAATATGCCTGGTCGTAGGGATCCTGATTTTCACTGGCCATTTTGGCCTTCGCGCCAGAGCTACCTTTTCGAAAGGGTTTGAAGATATGCCCTTTTTGCTTGTCGATTTTCCTTTTCCTTTTCTTTTCTTGAATCTGAATTTCCGATAAACGCATCGTGCTCCTCCAGTACCCAAAATGTCTCCTCATCGTTGGTGGATATGAAACCTTCTTGTCCTTCTTCGTCTTCCACCCAAAAGCCTTCTTCTCCTTCGTATTTTGTTTGTTCGAGAATGTAGGAGGTGTCGCTTCGGTTTCCTCCGGATGGCCGGATGGACGGATCTTGGATGGATGTTGTTGTCGTGATGAAGAGGTCGTGGTACTGCGTTCATCATCTTGTAACTGTAATTCTCAAGCGAGATGTTTCTCAATGACATTGCACTGATCAGTCTTTCTCTTTGCTGATCTGACAATTCACTTTGGAATATGAAAAACTGTGCAATGAGGTTGTCGTTGAGGGGAATGCGTCGCGGTGCCTTGTCTGCATGCCTGTAAGGTACTGCCTGAGTACTTCTGGAGTGTCTGTTTGCAGCAGATCTGGAGGCGGTGTTCAAGCCGCCAGCGGCTTGCTGGTGCGCGGCAATTCTTCTTGCATTGGCCTCTTGGACTGAAGCTATGAACTCTGGTGACTGTGCCGTATGAACTGGAGGTCCATCCAAGCTGCCTTCAATCTCATCAAGAGGATCTCAAATTTTGATGTAAGTGTGAGGAGCTCGGTGTTCTGCCTCCTATGATTGAAGAAACTGAGGAGTCTGTATAAGTACACGTTGGTCGACCCTTTCAGGAAGAACTTCTTCAGCGTGTTCTTGAAATAGTTGACTCCTTCGTCAGGATCTTGCAAGAGGTCGTTCTGGAGGACCGCCTTGTACATATGAGCGTCTCCAGCGAGACGACTCTTGAGGAGTGGTCCTCTCTTGGATGCTTCAATAGTTGTGAAGGTTACCCAATCATCTACAAGTTCTTCATATCGAAACCAGCTGACTCTTCCGTCGTACGATGGCGGCAGCTTGGCGGTCATCGGTAAGTTGAGCGTCTCTTCAGTGTAGCCGGTTGAACGGCCAACACTTGAATAGGCTTCCACGAAGCCTTCTCCATCGGATGACATTGTGTTTGGATCTCTGCGGAAAACCCGCTCCGCTACCACAATTGAGACCCACTGCCAGGGGCACCGTGTCCCCGAAGGGAGCTGGTACCTTGTGGTAGTAGAGAATGTATTGGTAGGTCCCCGGATCTATTCTGCAAGAGAGTCCAATATGCCAATAGTGGAGGAACTGAGAATGGAAGTCCCTGGTTGTGTAAATGTACAATGGATACCTGCAAGGCGCTCTGCTAGGTCCTTTTGTAATGGCTGCAGGATGCAACGGTACTACAAGATAGGGCCTTGAGCCAAATAGCATGCGTGTGGTGCAGGGGAAGCAAAAAGCAACACAGGGGGAGGTGGCAGGGAACAAAGTGTAGAAATGTGAACGCAGTGCTTTTGCACAAGCAAGGTCATTAGTGGTTGCGCCAATTACATGCTTATACCACGTGAATCGCATTGCCTGCGTTGGTCCATCAACCGTATCATCGAAGCTCTTGTTTATTGGAGACAAAACACTATTTCCTGATGAGTATGATTCTATTCGGATAAGGACTGATATTACGCGCCGCATGTTCCAACGGATGCATCCAGATTATAAGCAACACATCCCAAATATTGTATGATCGCAACTTTAAGTTAATGGAATGACCACAACTTTAACAAGTTAATGATATCTGTAGTAAGGTAACGACATAGAAATTATATTTGCGTGGTTCACAGCCACGGCCACCCAAGGGAGATGAAGGGAATAGACAAGATACAATTCTTGCTTACTTGCTTTAAAACCCAGTTCATTATCTTTTTTGTTCTGCTCCCTATTCACTCCTTGTATTATGGGTGAATGGCAGAGATTGGACGATCCTTTTGCCTTTCCTATCGCTCGCATGTCGCGATGGAAGGGAGGCTTGCGTGGTGAAGGAAGGGAAGGGCATAATGTGCTTGCCTTCTCCATCTCGCTCCAACGGATGTTTTGTGTGGGAGCGAGTCACCGTCCCGTCCCTCCAGTCACATCTTTTTCTAACCCCCACCAAAGGTTAGACGTGAATGAAGACCAGATAGCGCACGCGAAAACTTAGCCAGAGATTGGTCACGTTTTTCTGAATTTCGCCTTCTCGCTTCTCAGCTTTTACATGTTCTATGCACGTCCCTGTTGCTTCTGGAGGTGAGTGAGTGAGTGAGTGAGAAAGAGAAGATAAGACAGCCGGTTGCAAAATAGGAGTGAGACAGGGAAGGCATACAGAGAGACAGGCCTTCCTTTCTTTCACTCTCTCCATCTCATCTTTTTCCGATTATTATTTGTCTGTGGTTTTACTATGCTGTCATCCGTTTTTTTTTAAATCTGCGCAAGCTACCTTTCAACGAGTTTCCGTACTGCGGAAGTTTCTTCTCTTCGGCAATAGCTGTAATAGAAGTGATTCTTGATGTCCCTTTCTCTCTCCTTCATTCCCGCCCTCGCTCCTTGCATATAATGAAGTGATTCAAGAGAGTAGACGAGAGACAAGGCGTTCAATCCTTTTAGTCCAGAAATATATTTGACTTACATTGATCATTATGTTATCCCCTCCCTTGACATTCATCACATACCAAGTCTCAAAGTACAGAAATGTCAAGGTGGGAAGAGATAGAAGACGGAATTGGGATTCTTTCACCTGCTTCTCTCCCTCGTCACAGAATCCCGGGAATCGATGAAGATGTTGTAACTTGTCCTTATGAGAATGCAACTATTGTATACTTCACCTTTGTAGGAGTTTTGTTTTTAATTCTATATTTGGAGAAGTTCTCAGTCTTGAGGGCAATAAACGTAAGTTGTTCTACACATGCGAATAGAATACTAGAAGTATTTAGAACTAATCATGAGGCTTTCCATCATGTCTTTCCGTGCCCTCGCCTCTCCAAACAAGAAGGCAAACTGAACAAGCAATATAAGCAATGAGAAATGATAGCCATCCGAAAGCAATTACGTAAGAATAGGCGAGACATAGAAATATAATTTAGCGCAACAAGTCAACATACTAAATTACAATGAAGAAAGAAAAAACGAACCTGATAGATCTTTACTCTTCCCACTCACTCACACTTCGCCCCCTCGTCCATTCCATCGTGCTCCTCTGATCATAAAGCAAACTTAACGGCTGAGCACGGCAGGAGAAATAGACAGCTTTGTAGTAAAGCCTGATAATTCGTCCGTTTGGCAAGGTTCTTTGGGTTAATTACTACAGAAACATTTTTGTTGCTGGTCCCAGCCCGGGGGGGGGGGGGGAACCAGGACCCTTGATTTTCAAAACTGAAATCCAAAAAACCAGGAATTTTGGACTTGTTAGAGTTGAATTCTACAAAAATATCACATTCCAGATTTCAGGGGCCCGATGTTAGAATCTTGGAATTTGAGAATTCTAGATGGTCCCAGCCCGGGAGGGGCCCAGCCAAAACCCATTTTTGTAATTTTTGGATTTTGTATATTTTTTAGAATTGAATTCTAAAAGCTCTAAATTTCAGGGGGCCGATTTTGAATATGTTTAAGAATTTCAAGAATTCAGTTCCAATGCATCTAAAAAGTCCAAAATGCAGAGGTCCATTTTTTTTTTAGAATTTCTGGAATTCTAGATGGTCCCAGCCTAGAAGGGGCCCTGCCAGCCAGGGCGCTTGTTTTGTAGAATTTCTGGAATGTTTGGGAACTGAATTCTAAGCAATCCAACAGAATCTAAAATCGGGCCCCTGATTTTTTGACTTGTCAGAGTTCAATTCACAAGAATCCACAAAGTCCAAACATTGGACCTCTGCAATTTAAGAGTTGTTAGATTCTTTAGAAATCAATTCTAAAGGATTTGAATTCTAGAAAACAAGGGTTGTAGCCGAGCACCTTCTCGGCTGGGGACCAGTTGGAAGCAACCACTGAATGCAAGTCAAAGCCAGATGGCTGGACTCAAATTGGGACAAGTCTCTTTAGACATCGTTATCAAGACGCAAGTGGCCGGTTCAGATTATACATAAAGTTCACTTGTATGGGAGGGGGGTGGCGGCGGAGGCTAGCTGCTTTGAGGGTTTGCGGGCACTCACTGTTTTTGGGAGAGTACCCCTTTGCTGGAAACGAAAGGGAATCCACGAAATTTCCTGAACCTCCTCAAGGGCATATCTTTCAATCGAGTTCTCTTACGGGAAATTTGGAGACGAAGGGTCCTTTTCGCGCTTTGAGTTTGCGGGCCACTTCCAACGCCGGTCCTGTTCCCCATGAAGTTTGGCTTCTGTACCAAGAGGTAGCTGGAATCACTGCTCATGAACTTTGCCCCCAAGACCATCAGAGAAGGCCAGCGGAAAGACAATCGCGCAGAAACGGTCCATCAGAGTCCATCAAGCTAAGATCGATGGACGGCACAAATCGTGAGGAAACAAGAAATCCTCCCAATGCGCGCTGGAGTCGCAGATTTCTCCAAGTTTTCATGAAAGCGACAAGTCGATGGCCAGGCGCTGCCCCTGCACCTCTTGGAGCTCCAGGGTGTGCGCGCAGGCGCAGAGGACTCGATGGGGTTCTCGCTGGTGCGATAGGGAATGAACTCGTTCCCTTAAAGGAAACCGCCAGTTGGATGGTTTATGAGGGTCACTGCCAGATTCCCTGAGCACCAGCAAGGTTTTGGACTCTGTCCGCTTGGATTGGAAAGAGGGACAGGTCACTCAAGTGGCACACGGATCCACTTGGCCATGTGCTCATTGGATATCTGTGGCGGGGTGGGGGGGGGGGCTGTTGCCTTTGCTGACTCAACGCCACTTCCCAGTAGCGGAAATTTGTCCAGAGGAGTCCAGCGGTCCGCCGGTGGGGGTCTTCGAGCGTGTCGTGCGGCCCTTCAGCGTGGGGCAGATGGAGTTGTCGGCTCGGTCCTCCGTGGCGGAGAACCACGCGGCCAACGCTTTGCTGGAGGCACCTTGAAACGCACTGCAACCCATTTGCCCGTTGGGATCTTAGAGAAAAATAAAGCAACCGTGCAAAACCAAGGGGCATACGATGTGTTGCGAAGCCGACCGGGTTGCTCCCGAAATGCTGCTGGTAGGGGACAAGGAAAGCCCCGTGATTTAGAACTGTGTTGCGGTGGTTGTCTCTGCTCGCTTTTTTCAGGATTCCACGCTAATGATTGAATAGCAAGGGTGGGCCAAGTCGAACCATGCCAAGCTACATAAGTAGCTTGTGAACCAGGCATGCAACGAGAATAAGTAGACACCTATAAGAGCCAGTTGTTCGGTGGCACCCTTCTTTCCTTTTTGTTTGGGGCTAGGCGACTAAGAACGATTAACCCAGGAAAGGTTCCGATGCCGATGATGTGTCTACCTTTCGGGCAGAGCAACTGGGATTCACAGGGGTTTCGGAGGTTGGGCAATGAACCTAAAGCCGCCCCTTGAAGGAACCAGACAGGATGTTTCATGGGTCATTCCCTCATTCGTTCCTCAGAAGCAGCAAGTAAGTGCCTGCCTATTGCAAGATGAGCTTACCCAGCGATGAATAAGACCTGCCCACTATGATGCAGGTCCTTCATAGGGGGATGTTCTTCTACAGGTATTGGAATGATTGTGACATTTGCAATTGGCAGCGGAATTTCGTTTGTGACCTCTCTTGCCTTGCAGGAGTGGTTTGACGCCGCAAAGATCCCGCGTGCCATGTCAGAGATCTCCTTGATGTCGGGGAGGACGGGTTGGTGGCAGTGTTTTGGTAAAGAACAAGATGAACAGAGGTTTGTTTAAGCTAGTTGTCGTTTCCACTTCAACAATGGAACAAGGGGCTGGCCCAAGCCGTGGTAGGACCAGTGTGAATGAGATGCAGATCGCCTCGAATCTGTTTGGCATGATGGTGGATCAATCAGTGGCAGCCTTAGCCTTGGCACTCGCTCGATTTGTATGGTTCTTGCAGGCTACTTTTGCCAGGGCGTAATTCCAGGCTGCTTGTAAAGAAAAGAGGGCGGAACGTGTTGTGTTTGAAACTGTGTTTTGGGTTCATGAAGTGGTTGACGCGCGGCGGCCCGAGCAGCCGAGGAGCATGCAGCTGAGCAGGCCCAGGTCACTGTGCCAGCAGAAGATGGACGAGATCACTCAGCCGCAGAAGCCATCCGTGCACAAGCCGAAGCAGAGGCAGCTGCTCAAGCTGATGCAAAGCTGCAGGAGCATGCGGCCAGACATGAGGCCGATCACTCAGCTAAGCAACCCACCCAGCAGCAAGACGTTGTAACCCCAGCCCAGCAAGCGCCCCAGCAACCAGGCGCGCAAGCAAATTTGCTGCCAAGTGTCCCACCAATTAAGCAAGCAGTTCCGCAAGCGGGTGCTGCGGAAGCTGCAGTACCAAAGCCCAGCACACCAGCCTCAGTGGGTGGCGCGAGCAACTCAATTGCTTTTGATGGAATTGCAGCTGATATCGCCAATCAGGCTTTGGAGAGCGCAGCGCATGCAAGCCTTCGGCCAGAGACTGCATCACAGCCTGCTAGTGCACCGCAGTCACATCGCGTGGCTGGTGCGGCTTCTGGAGCAGCCCATAAGGTAGTGAAGGAGGCCCTGGAAGCTGCACTACGAGAGCCCGGCACTCCAGCCTCAGTGGGTTGCGCGAGCAACTCATCGGCTTTTGATGGAGTCGCAGCTGATATCGCCAATCGTGCTTTGGAGAGCGCAGCGCAAGCCAGCCTTCGGCCAGACCCTGCATCACAGCCTGCTAGTGAGCCGCAGTCACCACGCGTGGCCGGCGTGGCTTCTGGAGCAGCCCATAAGGTAGTGAAAGAGGCTTTGGCGCAAGACGCGACAGCAGATGCATCGCAGCAAGAATCCATCAGTCCAGTGAGCAACTCCCGAGTGGAACAGCCCCAGGTCACTGTGCCAGCAGAAGATGGACGAGATCACTCAGCCGCAGAAGCCATCCGTGCACAAGCCGAAGCAGAGGCAACTGCTCAAGCTGATGCAAAGCCGCAGGAGCATGCGGCCAGACAAGAGGCAGATCACTCAGCTAAGCAACCCACCCAACAGCAAGACGTTGCAACCCCAGCCCAGCAAGCGCCCCAGCAACCAGGCGCGCAAGCAACTGTGCAGCCAAGTGTCCAACCAACTCAGCAAGCAGTTCCGACAGCAGGTGCTGAAGAAGCTGGACTACGAGAGCCCGGCACGCCAGGCTCAGTGGGTTGTGCAAGCAACTCAGTTGCATTGGATGGAATTGCAGCTGATATTGCCAATCGGGAGTTGGAGAGAGCAGCGCAAGCCAGCCTTCGGCCAGACCGTGCATCACAGCCTGCTAGTGAGCCGCAGTCACATGGCGTGGCCGGTGTGGCAGCAGCCACAGAAGCCACCCCTGCACAAGCTGAAGCAGATGCAACTGCTCAAGCTGCTGCAAAGCAGCAGGAGCATGCGGCCAAACAAGAGGCAGATCACTCAGCTGAGCAACCCACACAGCAGCAAGACGTTGCAACCTCAGCCCAGCAAGCGCCCCAGCAACCAGGCGCGCAAGCAACTGTGCAGCCAAGTGTCCCACCAATTAAGCAAGCAGTTCCGCAAACGGGTGCTGAGCAAGCTGCACTACGAGAGCCCGGCACGCCAGGCTCAGTGGGTTGTGCGAGCAACTCAGTTGCTTTGGATGGAATTGCAGCTGATATTGCCAATCGGGAAGTGGAGAGAGCAGCGCAAGCCAGCCTTCGGCCAGACCCTGCATCACAGCCTGCTAGTGAACCGCAGTCACATGGCGTGGCCGGTGTGGCAGCAGCCACAGAAGCCACCCGTGCACAAGCTGAAGCGGATGCACCCCAGCAACCAGGCGCGCAAGCAACTGTGCAGCCAAGTGTCCTACCAATTCAGCAAGCAGTTCCGCAAACGGGTGCTGAGCAAGCTGCACTACGAGAGCCCGGCACGCCAGCCTCAGTGGGTTGCACAAGCAACTCAGTTGCTTGTGATGGAATTGCAGCTGATATCGCCACTCGTGCTTTGCAGAGCGCAGCGCAAGCCAGCCTTCGGCCAGACCCTGCATCACAGACTGAAAGTGAAGCGCAGTCGCATGGTGTGGCGGGCGCAGCATCAGCTGAAGCGAATGCACCTCAGCAACCAGGTGGCCAAGCAACTGTGCAGCCAAGTGTCCCACCAATTAAGCAAGCAGGTCCGACAGCAGGTGCTGAGGAATCTGCACTACGAGAGCCCGGCACGCCAATCTCAGTGGGTTGCGCGAGCAACTCAGTTGCTTCTGATGGAATTGCAGCTGATATCGCCAATCGGGAAGTGGAGAGAGCAGCGCAAGCCAGCCTTCGGCCAGAGGAGCATGCGGCCAGACAAGAGGCCGATCACCCAGCTAGGCAGCCCACCCAGCTGCAAGAAGTTGCAAATGCAGCCCAGCAAGCGCACCAGCAAACAGGGGGGCAAGCAACTGTGCAGCCAAGTGTCCCACCAATTAAGCAAGCAGGTCCCACAGCAGGTGCTGAAGAAGCTGGACTACGAGAGCCCGGCACGCCAGGCTCAGTGGGTTGCGCAAGCAACTCAGTTGCTTTTGATAGAATTGCAGCTGATGCCGCCAATCGTGCTTTGGAGAGCGCAGCGCAAGCCAGCCTTCGACCAGACCCTGCATCACAGCCTGCTAGTGAACCGCAGTCACCTGGCGTGGCCGGCGTGGCTTCCGCTGCAGCCCATAAGGTAGTGAAAGAGGCTTTGGCGCAAGACGCGACAGCAGATGCATCGCGGAAAGAGTCCATCAGTCAAGTGAGCAACTCCCGTGTGGAGCAGCCCCAGGTCACTGTCCCAGCAGAAGATGGACGAGCAACGACAATTTGCAATAGTGAAGCTGCTGCTGGCGGCATACATGTTGAGCTCGCGCATGGTGTTGTTTCCCAGGCTCTGGCTGAGCAGGCCCGCGAAGAGTCCAAGATGAGCATCACTTCCATGAGTGACACTGCTACGCTTTTGCAGGGGCGGACTGAAGCTGGGCAAATGGCCAATCAAGCAGCCTCAGAAGCCATCCGTGCACAAGCTGAAGCAGATGCAGCTGCTCAAGCTGCTGCAAAGCAGCAGGAGCACGCGGCCAGACAAGAGGCCGATCACCCAGCTACGCAGCCCACCCAGCAGCAGGAAGTTGCAACCCCAGCCCAGCAAGCGCACCAGCAAACAGGCGGGCAAGCAACTGTGCAGCCAAGTGTCCCACCAATTAAGCAAGCAGGTCCCACAGCAGGTGCTGAAGAAGCTGGACTACGAGAGCCCGACACGCCAGGCTCAGTGGGTTGCGCGAGCAACTCAGTTGCTTTTGATAGAATTGCAGCTGATGCCGCCAATCGTGCTTTGGAGAGCGCAGCGCAAGCCAGCCTTCGGCCAGACCCTGCATCACAGCCTGCTAGTGAACCGCAGTCACATGGCGTGGCCGGCGTGGCTTCTGGAGCCGCTCATAAGGTTGTGAAAGAGGCTTTGGCGCAAGACGCGACAGCGGATGCATCGCGGAAAGAGTCCATCAGTCAAGTGAGCAACTCCCGTGTGGAGCAGCCCCAGGTCGCTGTCCCAGCAGAAGATGGACGAGCAACGACAATTTGCAATAGTGAAGCTGCTGCTGGCGGCATACATGTTGAACTCGCGCATGGTGTTGTTTCCCAGGCTCTGGCTGAGCAGGCCCGCGAAGAGTCCAAGATGAGCATCACTTCCATGAGTGACGCTGCTACGCTTTCGCAGGGGCGGACTGAAGCTGGGCAAATGGCCAATCAAGCAGCCTCAGAAGCCATCCGTGCACAAGCTGAAGCAGATGCAGCTGCTCAAGCTGCTGCAAAGCAGCAGGAGCACGCGGCCAGACAAGAGGCCGATCACCCAGCTACGCAGCCCACCCAGCAGCAGGAAGTTGCAAATGCAGCTCAGCAAGCGCACAAGCAAACAGGGGGGCAAGCAACTGTGCAGCCAAGTGTCCCACCAATCAAGCAAGCAGGTCCGACAGCAGGTGCTGAGGAATCTGCACTACGAGAGCCCGGCACGCCAGGCTCAGTGGGTTGCGCAAGCAACTCAGTTGCTTTTGATAGAATTGCAGCTGATGCCGCCAATCGTGCTTTGGAGAGCGCAGCGCAAGCCAGCCTTCGGCCAGACCCTGCATCACAGCCTGCTAGTGAACCGCAGTCACATGGCGTGGCCGGCGTGGCTTCTGGAGCCGCTCATAAGGTTGTGAAAGAGGCTTTGGCGCAAGACGCGACAGCGGATGCATCGCGGAAAGAGTCCATCAGTCAAGTGAGCAACTCCCGTGTGGAGCAGCCCCAGGTCGCTGTCCCAGCAGAAGATGGACGAGCAACGACAATTTGCAATAGTGAAGCTGCTGCTGGCGGCATACATGTTGAGCTCGCACATGGTGTTGTTTCCCAGGCTCTGGCTGAGCAGGCCCGCGAAGAGTCCAAGATGAGCATCACTTCCATGAGCGACACTGCTACGCTTTCGCAGGGGCGGACTGAAGCTGGGCAAATGGCCAATCAAGCAGCCTCAGAAGCCATCCGTGCACAAGCTGAAGCAGATGCAGCTGCTCAAGCTGCTGCAAAGCAGCAGGAGCAGGCGGCCAGACAAGAGGCCGATCACCCAGCTACGCAGCCGACCCTGCAGCAGGAAGTTGCAACCCCAGCCCAGCAAGCGCACCAGCAAACACGGGGGCAAGCAACTGTGCAGCCAAGTGTCCCACCAATTAAGCAAGCAGTTCCCGCAGCAGGTGCTGAAGAAGCTGGACTACGAGAGCCCGACACGCCAGGCTCAGTGGGTTGCGCAAGCAACTCAGTTGCTTTTGATAGAATTGCAGCTGATGCCGCCAATCGTGCTTTGGAGAGCGCAGCGCAAGCCAGCCTTCGGCCAGACCCTGCATCACAGCCTGCTAGTGAACCGCAGTCACATGGCAATAGTGAAGCAGCGGCTGGCGGCATACATGTTGAACTCGCGCATCGTGCTGTTTCCCAGGCTCTGGCTGAGCAGGCCTGCGAAGAGTTTAAGATGAGCATCACTTCCATGAGTGACACTGCTACGCTTTCGCAGGGGCAGACTGAAGCTGGGCAAATGGCCAATCAAGCAGCCTCAGAAGCCATCCGTGCACAAGCTGAAGCAGATGCAGCTGCTCAAGCTGCTGCAAAGCAGCAGGAGCACGCGGCCAGACAAGAGGCCGATCACCCAGCTACGCAGCCCACCCAGCAGCAGGAAGTTGCAACCCCAGCCCAGCAAGCGCACCAGCAAACAGGGGGGCAAGCAACTGTGCAGCCAAGTGTCCCACCAATTAAGCAAGCAGGTCCGACAGCAGGTGCTGAGGAATCTGCACTACGAGAGCCCGGCACGCCAGGCTCAGTGGGTTGCGCAAGCAACTCAGTTGCTTTTGATAGAATTGCAGCTGATGCCGCCAATCGTGCTTTGCAGAGCGCAGCGCAAGCCAGCCTTCGACCAGACCCTGCATCACAGCCTGCTAGTGAACCGCAGTCACATGGCGTGGCCGGCGTGGCTTCTGGAGCCGCTCATAAGGTAGTGAAAGAGGCTTTGGCGCAAGACGCGACAGCAGATGCATCGCGGAAAGAGTCCATCAGTCAAGTGAGCAACTCCCGTGTGGAGCAGCCCCAGGTCGCTGTCCCAGCAGAAGATGGACGAGCAACGACAATTTGCAATAGTGAAGCTGCTGCTGGCGGCATACATGTTGAGCTCGCGCATGGTGTTGTTTCCCAGGCTCTGGCTGAGCAGGCCCGCGAAGAGTCCAAGATGAGCATCACTTCCATGAGTGACACTGCTACGCTTTCGCAGGGGCGGACTGAAGCTGGGCAAATGGCCAATCAAGCAGTCTCAGAAGCCATTCGTGCACAAGCTGAAGCAGATGCAGCTGCTCAAGCTGCTGCAAAGCAGCAGGAGCACGCGGCCAGACAAGAGGCCGATCACCCAGCTACGCAGCCCACCCAGCAGCAGGAAGTTGCAACCCCAGCCCAGCAAGCGCACCAGCAAACAGGGGGGCAAGCAACTGTGCAGCCAAGTGTCCCACCAATTAAGCAAGCAGGTCCGACAGCAGGTGCTGAGGAATCTGCACTACGAGAGCCCGGCACGCCAGGCTCAGTGGGTTGCGCAAGCAACTCAGTTGCTTTTGATAGAATTGCAGCTGATGCCGCCAATCGTGCTTTGGAGAGCGTAGCGCAAGCCAGCCTTCGGCCAGACCCTGCATCACAGCCTGCTAGTGAACCGCAGTCACATGGCAATAGTGAAGCAGCGGCTGGCGGCATACTTGTCGAACTCGCGCATCGTGCTGTTTCCCAGGCTCTGGCTGAGCAGGCCCGCCAAGAGTCCAAGATGAGCATCACTTCCATGAGTGACACTGCTACGGTTTCGCAGGGGCGGACTGAAGCTGGGCAAATGGCCAATCAAGCAGTCTCAGAAGCCATCCGTGCGCAAGCTGAAGCAGATGCAGCTGCTCAAGCTGCTGCAAAGCAGCAGGAGCACGCGGCCAGACAAGAGGCCGATCACCCAGCTACGCAGCCCACCCAGCAGCAGGAAGTTGCAACCCCAGCCCAGCAAGCGCACCAGCAAACAGGGGGGCAAGCAACTGTGCAGCCAAGTGTCCCACCAATTAAGCAAGCAGTTCCCGCAGCAGGTGCTGAAGAAGCTGGACTACGAGAGCCCGGCACACCAGGCTCAGTGGGTTGCGCAGGAAACTCAGTTGCTTCTGATAGAATTGCAGCTGATGTCGCCAATCGTGCTTTGGAGAGCGCAGCGCAAGCCAGCCTTCGACCAGACCCTGCATCACAGCCTGCTAGTGAACCGCAGTCACCTGGCGTGGCCGGCGTGGCTTCCGCTGCAGCCCATAAGGTAGTGAAAGAGGCTTTGGCGCAAGACGCGACAGCAGATGCATCGCGGAAAGAGTCCATCAGTCAAGTGAGCAACTCCCGTGTGGAGCAGCCCCAGGTCACTGTCCCAGCAGAAGATGGACGAGCAACGACAATTTGCAATAGTGAAGCTGCTGCTGGCGGCATACATGTTGAGCTCGCACATGGTGTTGTTTCCCAGGCTCTGGCTGAGCAGGCCCGCGAAGAGTCCAAGATGAGCATCACTTCCATGAGTGACACTGCTACGCTTTCGAAGGGGCGGACTGAAGCTGGGCAAATGGCCAATCAAGCAGCCTCAGAAGCCATCCGTGCACAAGCTGAAGCAGATGCAGCTGCTCAAGCTGCTGCAAAGCAGCAGGAGCACGCGGCCAGACAAGAGGCCGATCACCCAGCTACGCAGCCCACCCAGCAGCAGGAAGTTGCAAATGCAGCTCAGCAAGCGCACCAGCAAACAGGGGGGCAAGCAACTGTGCAGCCAAGTGTCCCACCAATTAAGCAAACAGTTCCCGCAGCAGGTGCTGAAGAAGCTGGACTACGAGAGCCCGGCACACCAGGCTCAGTGGGTTGCGCAGGAAACTCAGTTGCTTCTGATAGAATTGCAGCTGATGCCGCCAATCGTGCTTTGGAGAGCGCGGCGCAAGCCAGCCTTCGGCCAGACCCTGCATCACAGCCTGCTAGTGAACCGCAGTCACATGGCGTGGCCGGCGTGGCTTCTGGAGCCGCTCATAAGGTTGTGAAAGAGGCTTTGGCGCAAGACGCGACAGCAGATGCATCGCGGAAAGAGTCCATCAGTCAAGTGAGCAACTCTCGAGTGGAACAGCCCCAGGCCGCTGTCCCAGCAGAAGATGGACGAGCAACGACAATTTGCAATAGTGAAGCTGCTGCTGGCGGCATACATGTTGAGCTCGCACATGGTGTTGTTTCCCAGGCTCTGGCTGAGCAGGCCCGCGAAGAGTCCAAGATGAGCATCACTTCCATGAGTGACACTGCTACGCTTTCGAAGGGGCGGACTGAAGCTGGGCAAATGGCCAATCAAGCAGCCTCAGAAGCCATCCGTGCACAAGCTGAAGCAGATGCAGCTGCTCAAGCTGCTGCAAAGCAGCAGGAGCACGCGGCCAGACAAGAGGCCGATCACCCAGCTACGCAGCCCACCCAGCAGCAGGAGGTGACTTCTCCCATCTCCGTGCACGAGCCAGCAAGGCATCCTTCAGTTGCTGCAAGCGCAGCCAGCCCGCAGGCCGTGAAGCCACATGGCGATTCCGCGCGGAGTGGCTACAGTGAGGGTTCGCCCTCCAGACCAGAATGGGGGTCTGAAGCGACCACACCAAGGACTTCACCAGGTAGCTACTCCCCCATTGGGCCTGCGCAGCCTTTGGTTGATCCCAACCTGATTGCGAGGCTTTGTGGCCTCCTAACTCACCCAGAGACCCCACCAGGTGAAGGAGAGAGAGTGCGGCGTGGACCGATTCCAAGGGAGGAAGCTGAGCAAACCGCCGATGTAGCGACATGGCCGCTTGCAGAAACCACACAGGAGCAGCACCTCAAGCCAGCCTCGGAAACATGGCAGGAGACAATGAAGCCGACTCCACAGAGGGTTGACGCGGAGACGGCAGGTCCGTCGCAAACCCGTCCACTGTTCAACCGAGATGTTGTTGAGCCGTCAAGAATGGGAAGGAGGGACGTTCCGCCAGTCAGCAACTGGAGTGCGGTCGAGCAGCCGAGAGTTGCAAGGCAGGAGGTGCGAACACCTGATGAGCGCCAAGAATCGAAGACTCCGCAAAGTCAAGCTGCGTGGCCAGATTCGCCACAAGAGGTGACTTCTCCCAGTTCCGTGCACGAGCCAGCAAGGCATCCTTCAGTTGCTGCAGGCGCAGCCAGCCCGCAGGCCGTGAAGCCACATGGCGATTCTGCGCGGAGTGGCTACAGTGAGGGTTCGCCCTCCAGACCAGGTTGGCGGACTGAAGCGACCACACCAAGGACTTCACCAGGTAGCTACTCCCCCATTGGGCCTGCGCAGCCTTTGGTTGATCCCAACCTGATTGCGAGGCTTTGTGGCCTCCTAACTGATCCGAAGACCCCGCCAAGTGACGCTTTAGACCAAGCCGCTGATTTAGCGACATGGCCGCTTGCAGAAACCACACAGGAGAACCTCAGGCCAGCCTCGGAAACATGGCAGGAGACAATGAAGCCGACTCCACAGAGGGTTGACGCGGAGGCGGCAGGTCCGTCGCAAACCCGTCCACTGTTCAACCGAGATGTTGTTGAGCCGTCAAGAATGGGAAGGAGGGACGTTCCGCCAGTCAGCAACTGGAGTGCGGTCGAGCAGCCGAGAGTTGCAAGGCAGGAGGTGCGAACACCTGAGAGCAGCGAGCAGAAGACTCCAAAAGATCGAGCTGCTTGGGCAGATTCGCCACAAGAGGTGACTTCTCCCAGCTTTGTGCAGGATGAGAACCCTTTGGTCAACCCGGACCTCATAGCGCAGCTGTGCAATCTCTTGAATGCGCCGGACACGCCGCCCAGTGAAGCCGGACGAGCGCGGCATTTCCCCCCACGGCCGGATCGTGGGGCCCCGGCCCAAAAGCCCCCCATTCCATCCCAAGGACTGAGTGCCCTTGCTGCGTGCAAATGACGCGCCACGTTCCCGCCAAAACACACCCACACCCATCCTTTCAGGAGAGACGGGCCAATCTGCACGTTCAGCACCAGGCCGGTGAGCGGCGTGTGAAAGCTTGGGTCGTGGGACAGGTGGGGTAAAACAGGTGAAAACCCATGAGGGCCCCTCTGGATTCCGAGTCCGGTTGGGAGTCATTGCCCAGATCCACCCCCCGGCCTCGCAGGGCCTCAGCTTGCTGCAGGGAGCCTTGGTGCGGGCCTCAGACGTGATCGATTTTTGGGATTGGTGGGAATGGTTCGGAGGTGTGGTCCCAAGTGAACTTTTGAGTTACTTGCGTCAGGTTCCCCTGCAAACCTCCATTCAGAAGATAAAACCAATCAGGAAGTCGCTTTTTAATGGAATGCCAGGCTCGCAGCCCCACACGGCAAGGACCGGGACTCACTGAACGCGCTTGAGCGGGGTCTTTCTACCCGGTTTTTTCCCGAATGCGTAGCGAGGGGTTCCCGTTTATAAGTGGGGGTCTGGGTGGAGGCCGTGTTCGCGACAGAGTTGGCAACCGTCCGCAACCATTCGCAACATCCGCGTGCAAGCCGAAGCCGATGCAACCGCTGAAGCTACCGCAAAGCTGCAGGAACATGCGCGCTCTCAACCGGCTGTACCGGCAACTGGGCAACCTGCCAAGCAGCAAACGCATACAAGACCAGCCGAGCAAGCTCCTCAGCAACCCGCCCAAGCAACTCAGCAAGCCGCCCAGGCAAGTGCTGACGAACCTCAACAGCCAGGCACACCAGCCTCAGCTGGAGGCACCATCCAGTCCGCTGCCCGTGAAGCCACTGCAGCCGATGTAGCCAAAAGAGCTTTGGAGCAAGTGATTTCAGCCAGCCAGCGGCCACAGGCATCATCACACTCAGGTAGCGAGGAGGCAGAGCCGCAGACACGGCAAGCAGGCGGTATAGCTGCTGGAAGCAGAAGAGCGAGCCACGACCATTGCCAACAGTGACGCAACGGCAGGAATCATGCATGAACTTGCGCAGGGTGTCGTCGGCCATGCTGTTGCGCACCCTTTAGACGACGCCAGGTCCGTAAGTGTCACTGCTACATTTTCGCAAGGGCGGACACAAGCCGCACAAATGGCCAATCAAGCAGCGGCAGAAGTCATCCGCGCGCAAGCCGAAGCCGATGCAATCGCTGAAGCTGCCGCAATGCTGCAGGAGCATGCGCACACTCAGCCGGCTGTACCAGCAACTGGGCAACCTGCCAGGCAGCAAACGCATACAAGACCAGCCGAGCAAGCTTCTCAGCAACCCGCCCAAGCAACTCAGCAAGCCGCCCAGGTTGTTTTGAGGTGTCCTGCTTGGCAGGCGCAATCGGCTCGCTTTGGCGAGCCTGAAACATGTCAAGCCTGAAACATGTCAAGATTGGTCGACATCATTCTGGCGCTCCAACAGTTTGATTTTGAGTTTGTGGCAAGCTTTCTTTGCGTGACAGGCGCAGCACTTTCGAGCGTGTTGGTTGAATTTCGTGGCAGGCGCGGCGCTTTGGAGCTTTTCGCGCAAATTTCGTGGCAGGCGCAGTACTTTGGCGCCTGGGTTTAGATTTCGTGGCAGGCGCGTCACTTGGCGCGGTGCACATTTTGAGAACGCGAAGCGCTGCGCACTTTGGGTGGGTCAAATCGCTCTCGCTGTGGGGCGCGGCGCGCTGAACCCTCTGCGCACTTTGGGTGGGTGAAATCGCTGTCGCTGTGGCGCGGCGCGCGTTTTGAGTATGCAAAGTGAACCCTCTGCCCACTTTGGGTGGGTCGAATCGCTCTCGCTGTGGCGCGGTGCGCTTTTTGAGCGCGCAAATGCCCTCTGCCCCATTGGGTAGATCGAATCGCTCTCGCTGTGGCGCTGTGCGAATTTGGAGACAGAAGTGTCGTTCAGAAGTGTCGATCACAAGTGTCCATTAGAAGTGTCGTTCAGAAGTGTCGCTCAGAAGTATCGGTCGGAAGTGTCGACAGAAGTGTTGCTCGGAAGCGTCGGTCAGAAGTGTTGTGTCGATCAGAAGTGTCGAACTCAGAAGTGTTGCTCAGACGTGTCCCTCAGAAATGTTGTCAGAGCTCAGAACTAGAACTGTTGATCAGATCAGAAGTGTGGATCAGACGTGTTGCTCAGAAGTGTCAATGAGAAGTGTAGTTCAGAAGTGTCGCTCAAAAGTGTCGCTCAGAAGTGTCAGTCAAAAGCGTTGCTCAGAAGTGTCCCTCAGAAGTGTCGAGCAGAACTGTTGCAGTGTCGATCAGAAGTGTGCTCAAAAAGTGTTGCTCAGGGGTATATCGCTCAGAGGCGTCGCTCAGAAGTGTCGCTCAGGAGCGTCGCTCATGTCGCTGAGATATGTGTGTAGAAATGTTGCTCGGGTTGTCGCTCAGGCAGCAGTGCGTCGCTCATGTCGCTGAGATATGTGATGATATGGGTCTGTGTTTTTTTACCGTGTCAGTTCTTTAGTCTTCGTGGGAGGTGGGGCTTGGGCGAGCCATACCCCCGAATCATACCCCGAACCATACCCCCGAGCCATACCCCCATACCCCGAGTCATACCCCTTAAAAAACACAAAAAAAGAACTTGCAAGAACTGTGGCATTTGCATGTGATCCATGGATAGCTGGAAGCTATAGGGGGTTTAACTTCAAGTGAAGAAGGGGGTCTTGTCAAGAAACAGTGTTAGAGAGCTTGTCATGTGGACCGATGCCAGGGGGTAGGGACTCCGAGGTAATACCTGGTTCACTTGTGGTTCCTGGATCTATTCTTGAGTCTGCGATGCTTGCATGGTTGGGCTCACAGTTGACATGTCCACTCACACACTCACTGGTTACTCGTGGGGGGCCATTTTGGCTCAAGTGGTGTTCCTTGACACTCGGTTACCCACCTCGGTCTCGGCTTGCTATTTTCAATGGAAAGTGCCAATGGATGGAGTTATAGAGCAATCCTGCGGATGTCCTGGTACTAGAGTTGTCTGTAGCATCCGTGGTGCTGTGGCGGGGGGGTGCAGCTTGACGTAAGACTTTGGGACTTGCAGGGCGCTGTGGCGGGGGGTGCCGCTGCTGAGCTTGAAACTTGGAGCTTGCTTCCTGCAGTCTGTCCGACGCGGTGGAAACAGCTGTCTGTCCTGGGCCACTGTCGCAGTGAAACACAAGCTGTCTTTGTGCTCCTGGCGAAAAAAAACTGTCCCCCGATTCATACCCCCGATTCATACCCGACTCATACCCCGATTCATACCCTTCTGCTGCCATTTGCAGCCAAGAGCCTCTTGCGCTCTGGGCAGTACTAGCGAAGCTATGCCGCCCAAATCCTGAGAAGACACAAAACTCAAAGAGAAGCACTGCAGGAACCAGCTCGCGGCTCTTTTCGCAGAAGTTCGCCAGAAGGTGGGTTTGGAAGGCTTACTGCGATGTATCAAGCGCGACACGGTAGCCTCTGCGCAGCTGCCGTTTGAGGATGTCACGCTGTCTTGCCCTTACGCTGGTTCGTGACTGGTGCGGGTGGCGGGCCTGACTGGGGGCGCTTCCCCTTAAGCAACGCTGCTTGTGTCTGTGAGCACGCGGGTCGCTTGAACTCCAAGTGGAGGTGGCAACGACGTTCGCCTCAGGCAGTGGCTCTGCGCCGTCCACCTAGCACAGCAGCTTTCTCTAGTTCAGGCCACTCACAAGCGCCCCAGGCTGGCGTGTAGCAACTAAGCGGTCCAAATTCTCACGGCATCCAGTTGCCAGCGCACGGGAGCTTTGCAGTGTCCAAAGCCACAAAGCAAGAGTTCAGAGGCGCGCGAGCCATACCCCGAATCATACCCCCGAGCCATACCCCGAACCATACCTGCGATTCATGCCCCTTATACCAACCTCCCGGCACGGCCACGTCAAAAAAACACATACCCATATGTGTGTAGAAATGTTGCTCGAATTGTCGCTCAGGCAGCAGTGTTGCTGATTGTGTGTGGCTCAGACGTGTCGTTCAAAGGTGTTTTCAGAGTGTCGCTCAGGAGTGCCGCGCAGTGTTGCCCAAAAGTGTTGTTCAGAGGTGTCGCTCAGAAGTGTCGCTCAAAAGCGTCGCGTACATGTGTGTGTGTGTCTTGGCTCAAGGAAGTGTTGCTCGGAAGTGCTGATCAGAAGCATTCGTCAGAAGTGTTGCTCAGAACTGTCGATCACAGGTGTCGCTCAGGGGTGTCGATCAGCTGTGTCGAATCAGAAGTGTTGCTCAAAAGTGTTCCTCGGAAGTGTCGGTCGGAAGTGTTGCTCAGCTGTGTGGATCCGAAGTGTTGACCAGAAGTGCCGATCAGAAGTGTCGATCAGAAGTGTTTCTTAGAAGTGTCGATGAGCAGTGTGAATCAGAAGTGTTGATCAGAAGTTGCTCCCTCAGAAGTGTTGCGCAGAAGTGTCGCTCTGAAGTATCGATCAGAAGTGCGGGTTAGAAGCATCGATCAGAAGTGTTGCTAAGAACTGTCGATCGTGGTGTCGGTCAGAGGTGTCGATCAGCAGTGTCGAATCAGCAGTGTTGCTCTGAAGTGTGTGTCAGAAGTGTTGCTCAGAAGTGTCGATCAGAAGTGTCGATCAGAAGTGTTGCTCGGAAGTGTCGCGCAGAAGTGTCAGTTTGAAGAGTTGCTCCGAAGTGTCGCTCAGAAAACTGATCTCAGCAGTATTGCTCAGAAGTGCCGCTCAGAAGTGTGGATCAGAAGTGTTGACCAGATGCTCAGAACTGTCGATCAGAAGTGTCAACCAGAAGCTCGGATGTTGCTCAGAAGTGTCGATCAGAAGTGTCGCTCAGAAAAGTCGATCAAAAGTGTCGCTAAGAAGTGTCGATCAGAAGTGTTGCTCGGAAGTGTCGCGCAGAAGTGTCAGCCTGAAGTTTCGCTCAGCAGTGTCGCTCAGAAGTGTGAATTCAGCAGTGTTGCTCAGAAGTGTCGCTCAGAAAGAAGTGTTGCTCGGAAGTGTGGGTCGGAAGTGTTGCTCAGAAGTGTTGTTGAGAAGGGTTTCTCAATAGTGTCGATCAGAAGTGTCGATCAGAAGTGTTGCTCAGAAGTGTCGCTCAGAAGTGCCAACTCAGAGGTGTTGCTCAGAAGTGTCGTTCAGAAGTGTCGATGAGCAGTGTGGATCAGAAGTGTTGGTCAGAAGTGTTGCTCAGAACTGTCGATGAGAAGTGTGGATCAGAAGTGTTGCTCACCAGTGTCAATCAGAAGTGTGGTTCAGCAGTGTAGCGAAGTGTTCATCAGAAGTGCGGATGAAAAAAGTGTTGCTCAGAAGTGTCGATCAGAAGTGTCGATCAGAAGTGTTGCTCAGAAAAGTCGATCAGAAAAAGTGTCGCTCAGAAGTGTGGCGCAGAAGTGTCGATCAGAAGTGTCGATCAGAAGTGTGGTTCAGAAGTGTTGATCAAAAGTGTCGCTCAGAAGTGTCAGTCAAAAGTGTTGCTCAGAAGTGTCGGTCAGCAGTGTCAATCAGAAGTGTTGCTCAGAAAAGTCGATCAGAACAAGTGTCGCTCAGAAGTGTTGCTCAGAAGTGTCGATTAAAAAAAAGTGCGGTTCAGACTGTCGCTCAAAAGTGTCGCTCAGCAGTGTCAATCAGAACTTGTGCTTAGACGTGTCGCTCAGAAGTCTAGCGCGCGCTGGAAAATCTGTAGTGCAAGTCTAGTGCGCGAAGGCTTGATTGCGAGCCCCATTGGCTTATACCGAAAAATGTTTTGTAATTATTTTCTTGGGTTTGCGCAAAGTGATGTGCGTTCGGGTTCGTCAGCTCTGTCTTGTTTTTTGGGGTTTAACATCACCTTTGGCGTCTCTTGTTTTTGCGCACTTGCAACGCATATGGTGAGGTCGATGTGTCGTTGTTGTTGGTGCAGAACATTACAAGAAGGCTTAGGGACATACTATGAGATATGACTTCTTCTCGTTGCTCCCCTGACGCTTTTGGCATCGCCTTTCTGCACCATGAAGATACTGGGAGCGTAGGGGCAGGATCTTGGCCATCCACAATCCTGAAGCGATCCAGGACTTCTGTCCGAAGCCGCGGCTCTGCGGATGAGAGGGACAGCGACATCAATGAGGCGCTCGCGCTTGATCTGTTGGCGTGCCCCCCAAATAGTGGCTCTCCGGTGTCCCTAGGGTTCCCTTCAGCGCACCTCACAAAAGGGTGCCCCCAACATGTCTTGCATTCCCGAGCCAAGCATATCATGGTGGTTTGGGTTTAGGGCTTGGGATTTTCATTTGGCGTGTTGTTTTCTTGGACCCCTCGCTTTCCAGGAAAATGCAATTTTGCGGGTTTCTCCGTTTGAGACAAGCCCCATGTAGCCGGCGACACAGTTCAGTGGCTGACTGGAGCGCAGGCGTTGGACCAAGAAGTGTCAAGCATTATGGACCTCCTATGCACGCAGCCCAGTGGTGTGGTGGGAGGGTGCCATTTCCCCCTCCCCCTGGCACAAGTTCCAAAATGGCACGGGCCATGAAGAGCCTTCCAACCAGGGCCTGTGCATCTCTATGAGAATTGGTGCAGACTCGGTTTTGAGCGTTTGAACCCTGGTGAGATCTCTTGGCTCGCATTTGCCGAGGCTTCAAGTTGACATGAGTCGGTTAACCTTGCGCGTATCACCGACCTGGCAGTTGAATTCAAAGGCTCGGGTGCGCAAGCGAGCTTCGGGTTCTTGTTCTTTGTGTTCGCATGTCTCAAAACTGGACCCACAAGTCGGAAAAGACAAACACTGGCAATTGCGCCAAGTGGTCCTTTACTGCCATCCAACCCGAGAAGTGACTTGCGCGGCCGGAATTCGTGCTGCATGGCAGGTGTGGGGCATGACAGGAGGACCCCCACCCTCAGCCCGAAACGACCAGAATCTCTCCCTTCAAAGGCGTGGGTTGTTCAAAGCCAATCCGAAAGATCGTGCCGATTCGTGGTATCCTTGTGGTAGTGTCACTATGGGTTACGGATTGAACAACCTGGAAGTGGAAGGCCATCAGCCCCCAAAGGGGGCGCCTGGTGACCAAAAGCTGTCGGAGTGGGCGTTTGCTTTGGGCCGGCCTTGGCACAGAGCATTCCTGGAGCATTTGAACCTAAAGCTTTTAGGCTCCACAGGATTACGCCTTGCAGGACTCATTTCGAGCACCGAGCCGAACTTGCAGACTGCCTCACTGTTTCCAGAGCTCATCACAAACGTAGTCTCCCTTCTATTGCCATGTGTTCGACCACGGAGCTAACTTTGTATTTTCAAGTTGGTCAAACCCGAGTGTTTTGCCTTCTTTTGCGGATTTTGTTTTTTCTCGGGGCGCAGCTTGGCCATGGCCATGGCTTGATTTCGATGGGCGCCAGCCCCTCGGCCGGCACCGAGCTCCCGTCCCTGGACGCAGCCGGGCGCGCCCGGCTGCGGCGCATCGAGCCCTGGACGGAGATCGTTCGCAAGGCCGCGGTGCGGAAAGCGAGTGCAACCAGACCTTGTCACATCTTGTCACATCCCTTGGCCTTGGGAAAGCGTTGAAACCACCAACCCCTGGCCCCTTCTAAAAGGAATTCAATCGGCATGCTTTTTTTTGTTTTGTGGTTTTTTTGTGGTTGGTCGCGGGTGGTGTTCTTGGTTCTTAGTTCGGCAGTTTGGTGGTTTGCACCATGCTTGGCGCAGTTCTCACCCCGTTGCCAAGTGAAAAACGTCAGTGGTTGACCTTTCCTCTGAGCTGGGGGGGTAGGGTTTTTGGATCGCAATCCCGAGGTCCAGCGCATGGGTGGCAGCCAGGAGGAGCTAGGTGAGGAGGAGGCATGCCTGAAGGTTTTTGCAAGTGAGCCGTCGCATCCAGTCACACAACCCCAGCAGATTCCGGTGAATTTCAGGGCTGAACTTGTTCCCCAACCTACTGGAAGGCTTCAATTTGCAGTACAGTACCATGGTTTGAGGATAGTGGTTGAGTTTGCAGTGTTTGGGTATCCACTGAATCCAATGCACATAGCGCCCAAACGGAGCAAGCAGGAGAGGTGGATGCGGGAAACATCGAGAGTGCACTTTTGTCTAACGTACGTAAATTCATTCGCACCCTACGTGTTTAAACAAAACATCCACACACACAGGCGAACACACACACAGGCGAACACACACCCAGACACACACACACACACGCACACAGACGCAGACACACGCAGAGACGCACACACACAGACAGAGACAACACAGACACGCGCACACCCACACACACACACACACCACACAACAGACACCGACAGCGCACACAACAGACAACAAACACACAGAACACACACACACACAGAACACACACACACACACAACAGACACAACAGACACAACGAACACAACAGACACAACAGACGCAACAGACGCAACAGACACAGACAACAGACAACCCACCCACACACACACACACAAGGACACACAGAGACACAAAGGCGCACAGATCCACACCGACACACACACACACACGCACACACACGCACACACACACAGACACACACAGACACACACAGACACACACAGACACACACAGACACACACACACACAGACACAGACACAGACACAGACACAGACACAGACACAGACACACAGACACACAGACACACACAGACACACACAGACACACACAGACACACACAGACACACACAGACACACACAGACACACACAGACACACACAGACACACACAGACACACACAGACACACACAGACACACACAGACACACACAGACACACACAGACACACACAGACACACACAGACACACACAGACACACACAGACACACACAGAGACACACACAGACACACACAGACACACACAGACACACACAGACACACACAGACACACACAGACACACACAGACACACACAGACACACACAGACACACACAGACACACACACCCACACCCACACCCACACCCACACCCACACCCACACCCACACACACACACACACACACCCACCCACCCACCCACCCACACACACACACACACTTGAACTCCCGAAGGAGCGTACTCATCAACGTGCTGGGTGGGTCTTCGAGTAATAGTATCGGCTGGCAGGTCACTTGGCTTCCCTCGAGTGTCGAAAACGTTACAGGACTCAACATGGGGCACTTACAGCGAGAGAAACAGCGGGCCAAAAGGACTTTGTATCACCGGCAGGTACACGGCTTGGCGCCCCAATCCGCATCACGAGCGCTGCATGGGCGTCTTCGTTGGCTCCCGTCCCATGCAGGCTCCGAGAGCCCCCTGCTGACGAAGAAAAGGTTGGTGGCAGGGTATTCTGCCACTCCGCGCACACACGCCCCTCCCAAAAAAGCAAACAATACCTTTTGCATCCGGAAAACCAAGTCAGCAGCCTCCTAGTGTCTACCAAAATATCCACAGCGGCGAGGAGAACGTGAATTAGCACGCTCTGCAATGCCGCTCAGAAGACGGGGACACAGGATAACCAAGTTGAGCAGCAGAAGCTGATGGCAAGACTGGTGGAAGGAACATCGAGGACTGATGTGCGGTATCTGTCAATGTCAGAGGTGGGGGGTGAAGAGGTCCATCAGGTTGCGATGCTGCTGAAGGGGACCGCGGGGCTGTACCAAGTTGTTCCACCTGGATGGAGACGTCCGGGTTGTGTGGATCTCTACGCGGTTCAGCCGAGGCATTGTTGACGGTCCAAGCTTCGTGGTGAGGATGCGATTGGTGACCCTGCTCAGATTGCCAATCGTCGTCGCCTTGAGCCTCATCCCGTAGTGGGACCACCGGTTTCCACACTCGAAAAGTGTTATCTGGTAGAGCAGCACGTCATCATGTTGGTGCCATAGTCGAGGTTCCCCAGGAATTTAGACCTTCACCCATTCTTGTCCCTGCCAGAATGAATACTCCAGCCATGGTTGTTGAGCGCTATCCAGGTCCCGGGTTTGGGCTGCAGCGTCAATTTCCATGTTGCGGTGGAAGAAGGATTGCACCACGGTATCCGATCCAGCTACGAGCGCAAAAGAAACTGCTAACATGCGCAACGACCAACACACAAGCACGCAAGACATCAAGATAGCACCATTTTGCTGCATGACCAATGTTCGTCTGTCTACTCAGCAACTAGTTCAAAAATGGACTTCTCGTTGACGTTCGAACTGCAAGGGCGGCCTGTGGGCGGATAGGGCTCAGTGGGTCCAACAGATTCAGGCTGAAGCTGATCAGCGTCTTGAGAAGCGCGGGCTGGCTGATGAGGCGTTGATGCTTGTCGCATTCGATCCGCACCGCAAGTTGTTGGTTAATCCCTGCCTGTAGACGGGTCAGATCCTCTGTGGAGAAGGTAGATGCATCCGAGGATTGTAAGATCGCCTCCAACACCTGCGGGGACATACTCGGGAGTGATGACTGTGTGGCCACGCCTGTGTTGGTCAGGGGATAGAATCGAAGCCAAGTCCCTGTCCTGCTCCGGAGCAGCAACACGCCTGTAACCTTCAGTGGTGCAGTCAAGTTTGTACCTTGCGTGAACAGTATATTGAACGCCATCATGTGAGTGAACTTGGCTGTGGAACAACTTCCATTCCATATGCGTATAGCGTGGAGGAGGTTCATCGTGTTCCTCATGTAGTGTTCATGTACCTGGGTGAAAGACCTTGGCCCATTGGGCGTCAGGTTGTTGAGGATCAGGGCACCACTCCAACCACGGCATGACTACGTCCGCACCGAAAAGCACATCCGAAATGCACACGGCTGCAGGCAACGAACACTTCATGCCATGTGTCACAAGAGATGTCAATCAAACGCAAGAGACTCGATCCAGCACTCACGGCACATGCGACACCGAACGCAGCAGTTTACAGCTAGAAGCAACTCAGATGTCGATGTCACTCGCCCCAATCAAGCTCAGGATCATAAGGCGGTGAAGGAGGACGCCAACCACCATCCGTAACTGAGGATGCTGCCGAGGATGACAATCCAGCGTACATGAGGTCAGGTGATCCCGACGGGAAAACAGGCCGTGCTATACTCGGGTGTGGGTTGCCGAGCCTTTGGTATCCTCTGGTGTGCCAGTCACGATAATGCCATGTATAAAAGGACGCATAGGAGTCCGGCTGGGTGAGGGAGTCCGCCGTGGTGCGTCCCATGCCAATACACTTCAAAGTGGTAGAACCTGCGCCACTCCTGATAGGTGGATGTTTCTCCCGGAGCTGGTCCAAAGGTGGAGCCTGCAACAGGTTGCCACGGGCCCGGCATGTAAACTCTAATCCATTCGGTAACGGAATTTCCAGGACCAGCCACTATATCGTACTCGAAGTCGTCGAATTGAACATATTGAACATGATACCCGGATCAATGGCGGTGAGACAACGCAAGGTGCATGAAACCGAGAAGTCTGCGAGAGCAAGAGCATGCAAACAACTCAAGACAAGGCAATGCAACCAAAGCACCGTCAACATGCAACACGGAAAATATTGTTACTCAGAAAGTTCACTGTCCGCATGCTACTGCCGTTGATGACGTGCACATCGGCAATGAAAGTGCCCCAGCTGGCGTCGTGCGCAAGGAGAAAGGCACTTCCGGCCACTGTGCAGGAGAGCGTGGCAGTAATGCTTGCATCGCATAGTTCTGGACTGTAGCACGAGACGATTGTTTGGGAGTGAACACGGTGAATGGCCTGTGGGAGTAACGTGTCGGCCGGCGCTGTGATACCTTTCACGGATTGAGCTCGCTTGCGGGCGTATTTGGATCCACGCGTAGAGGATGGACTCCGCGAGTGATGTTGATGATCGCCTGCATGAAGATGTCCAGCACTTTGTGCTGATTGTCTTGTGCGGCTGGAAGATGTGGTAGCCTGGCATGATCCGCCACGTGGGAATGATGTCAGTGAAATTCGTAGTGTAGGCATAAACTGAGAATGAAGTATCTCCGGCGGCGGAGGGGGCGGAGGAGGCGGTGGTGGTAGTAGAACAACATGGGGAGGTGGTGGTGGCGACGCCGGTATGCGTATTGGTACTTCACACTGGGTTCGGAGCTCACGAGCGTCATGCGCAGGGCCATGGTACTGTAGCCATGCGGGATGGGCTCCATGAGTCCAGGTGATAAACGTCTGAACATTTTTCTCCGTCATGTCTTGATCCATCATGTCTGCATGCTAAGCAATGTAAGGTGGAGAATCAGACACAACTTTCAACACTCAACATGATTTTCACGGCAGGAGTCCGCATGAGCTCAGTGGAGTGTAGTTGCGCTCTTCAAGTCGTTGGAAGACCTTCCAGGCCTGCTTGACTTCATCCGTGCTCTTCTGGAGGGAACAGGCAATAGTCTTGTAGGTGGGCCTCGCGTCCTTGTCCTTTTTCCGCCGGACCATCTCATCCAACTCCCCTTGCGTCCAGGCCGTAAATGGTTCGTGATAGGCATTGCGAAGCGCTGTCGTGAACTCTTGTAGAAGTTCACGAGGACCACGGGACTGGGTGAGGACGGATAGAATGGTCCGAATCAGGAGGTTGGAGTAGTCACTGGCCCGCGGTTGACGTTGGAGATAAGCGGGTTGATCGTGGCGGGTGCTGTCAATCTGGGTGGAGGAAGGTTTGCAACGAGGTCAGTCCTGGGCGTACTTCATGTTCCGCACCTGTCCCCGGAGTATCGTGACGGTCTGGACGAGGAGGAGATAGCTCGCGCGCACATACCACGTTGATGATGTGTCCAAGGGCCTTGTCCTAGTGCGTGGCGGCGATCTGGAACGGTCCGATGTGATGCGCTACGTGATGATGCGTGGTCGCAGACCATGACGCGAGTTGCGTGGTTGCCGGGGTGTCGTCCTGGC